TCTCATTTTGTTTGTGTAAGTCTGTCTATGCTTTTGTATTCACAATATTTGTCCTTTCTTATAGCACAGTAATACTCCATTACATTCATCCACCACACTGTTTAACCATTCCCCAGTTAGTGGGCATCTGCTTCAGTTCCGGTTCCTGGGTATTCATCCGAGGCACTGGGAGTTTTTGCTCAGAGCCATCCTCGGTGCTGCCTTTTTTGCATGCCCTGCCTTTCTAAGACTTGTTTTTGCTGTCTTGATTGACTGGAGCATCAGTGACTTTACTGTCTTGGCTCGAACCTCAGCGCCCTCTTACTTCAGATTTAATATTAAGATGAAACAAGGCACTCCCAAGTCCCGGAACATTTAAAAAGGAGGAGGTTTGCTTTGCCCTAATGCAGCAAGGATTTGCAGAAAGGACACAGTGGTGCTCTGGACACAAACTCCCCTTCCCCCCATTTCCATTTGGATCTTGTATCACAAGAGGCAGAGGAGACAACCCTGGAGGTTTTCGAGTCCAGCCTGGGCAGCCAGAAGGACAGGAAGACAACTTCGGAGGGGTGAAATAAGCTTACTTTATTCTTACTGTTCTATCTCAATGGATTCCTGATAATGGGAGCACCAACTCCTACAGGAACCCCAATCACTCTTTTTGCAGGGGCAGGCAAGAATATAGGAGCATGCCTCCCACAGGGAGTTCCCCTAAGCCGTGATGGGGGCCGATCAAGGCAACACAGCCTTCCAGCTAGTTCACTCCCCCCTAAGCCTCAGTGGGGGCTGGTCGAGGAAAGCACATTCACAAATCCCTACGCATCCCCAAAATCTCCACTCACTGACCAGTGCTCTCTTGATCTATAGAGAAGCACACAAAGAGGACAGTTTGCCCGCAATAAGCTCACAGGTTAGCTTTAGCAATATCATCGTAAGTTAGCACAGCGCAAGCGCCATCCCTGTATTTCACTGTGGAGTTACAGTAAAAACTGTTTACAAGCCATGAGCCAGGGAACTATTATCTATGATTTTGAGAGCTAGAGATTGTTTTGGCCATGGATCCTGGGAATTGTTATCTTAAAAAGAATAATGAAATCACCTTAGTTGCAGATGTCTAGTCAGTCATCAAAGTAGGGAGTTGTCTCATGGTCTCAGGTGCCTGCCATCTCTGGGAAGCAGTAACTGCACATGGCTCAGACCCTTTATGCCCCATCACCAGGAAGCTGCATCGGGGCCGCTGGAGCGTGGGTGGGGGAAGGAAGCTGGAAACTACTGGTTCCGCCACCCTAGAAGCCTCACTTGTGGTCTTCAGAGATGTGCACTGAGTCTCAACTGTGTGTGATTTACACACAGTGATCTACTGAGATCACCCGATCTTAGTTTTTTAATAGTAGTTAAGCAAGGGTTAAGGTTCCTGACAGCAACAGGCCCAGGCTAATGGGGTATCCAGATTTAGGATTTAATTACAAATTGGTGGGGTTTTCCCCTAGGGACGGTGACTCCCTAGCGGATAGTGCAGCCCAAGAGCCATGTCTCTTCAGGTGACTAACGGGTGTCTTTAGGGTTCAGGTCCTTTCTTTTTATTGGGAGATCATTGTGGCCAATTATTCAAGATAAAGTGCTGGCCTTAGAATCAGAAAGATCTGGATTTCCATCTCACCTGATATGTCGTAACTGTATGACTCATGGCAGGCCGTTTAACCTTTATACGTCCTCAAGTCACTAGGATTGATGTGTCCAGATCTGTTCATGTTTCTTTGCTCTTCAAAACTCTTGCCTACCAACTGACATTTCAACTCACGGTGTAGAAGACTTTCACAGTCTGTCTCTCCTATTTTTGTACCATCTTTCACATACTTTTTTTCTTTTCTTTTTTTATTAATTTATTTTAGTTTATAAACTATCACTTCCATAAGCTTTTGAGTTTTACATTTTTCTCCCCTTCCTTCCCCACCTCCCTCCCCAAGAGGGTACGCAGTCTGATATAGGCTATACATATACATTCCTATTAAACATATTTTCACATTAGCGATGTTGTAAGTAAGAATTAAAACCAGCAGAAAGAGGAAACAAAACACAACAGAAGAAAAAGAATAGCAAATAGTACGCTTTGATCTACATTCAAACTCCATAGTTCTTTCTTTGGATGTGTATAGCATTTTCCATCATGCACGTACTCTTTTTTCACATAGCCTGTATCCCTATCCACTTAGAGTGCTTGCCTCTCCATAAATGATCTTATGAGCTGAAATCTTAAATAGCAGCATAAAGCTGAGTACTTTCTGGGTGTTGGGGAACAGAAAGTTATTAATGACTGGGGGTATGGTGGATCAAGGAAGCTTATTAAGATAAATGAGATGGCCTTTGAAATGGGCTTTAAAGGATGTGTACAAATGCAACTGGTAGAGACTTTTGAGGCCCACAAGGCATTGAGATAAAAAAAAGTGTAAGGTGTCTATGATTAATGGTTAAATATTCTGATTTGATGGAGGGCATAGACTGGAGAGAGAATGGTAATAGTGTAAGATTATGTCAGAATGTAGAAGAACGTGAGTTCTAAATAAAGGAGTTTTAGCACTAAGCCGCTGAATTTTGAATACACAAGCTAGAAGAAAGATGTTTGGTACAGAGTATGGATCATAGGAAGGGTAAGTGGAGGCAGAAAGAATTTAGGCGACTAAAATAATTCAGATAAGGCCTGTGGTGGTAACAGAGGGAAGAGAAAAGAAGAGATGGATGTGAGAGATTGAAGAAAAAGGATTTATTCTATTGTTATTGTAATTGATAGGATATGTGAGGAGAAAGAGGAAAGTACTAGGAAATGCACAGGATTTTAAACTTGGGACACTGAGCAAATGATTATTCCAGTGACTGAAATAGTGAATTTGGAAGGAGCAGGTATAGTAAGGGGAAAGACTACATAAACTTGTTTTAGGAAATGATGAATCTGAGGTGTTTGTGAGGCACTCAGGTAGAGAAGTCCTGTTGGCCATTGGAAATTGCAGTCTAGCTCAGGAGAGAATTCAGGGTTAGAGATACAAAATTACCTATATAAAGATGAGCAGTAAAGTGTTGGAAATGAATAAGGTTAAGGGAGCAAATGTAGAGAGAGAAGAGGGCCTGTGGATAGATCATGGAGAAAGTACCCACTTTGGGGTTTGCAAAGGTGGAGGAGGGAGGAGGCTAAGAGCCAGCCAAGGATATGAAGATTAGATAAGTAAGAAAAGAACCAGGAAAAGTCTGGCGTTTCTGAAGCTAAGGGAGGAGGAGAGAGTTTCCAGTAGGGGGAAGTTCAGTGTTTCAATTAAGACAACAAATAAGATGATTTGGTGATTAAATCTTCTCTCTCTCTCTCTCTCTCTCTCTCTCTCTCTCTCTCTCTGTCTCTCAGTCTCTCCGTCTCTCTCAAAAAAAAAAAAGTAGCCAGATAATGGGGACAAAAGCCAGATTGCAAAGGAGGAAAGAGTCATGGTGAAACCTTTTGAGTATGAAAAAGAGAAGGATGCGGTGGTCATTGTGTTGTGTGTGGAAGACTCAATGTAAGGGCTTTTTAAAGACTGTGGAAATCTGAAAAACATTAAAGAGTAAGAAAGAAAGTGAGAAGCCACAAACAAAGACCACAGGGATTGAAGATGCATGATAGAGAGGAGATGAATGTTGGAGCAAAATCCTAGGAAAGGCAGGAAAAGATAGTATTGGGGATTCGGGTAAAAATAGTGATACCTTTTCCTCTGGGAGGAGGAAGGGGCAAAGCATGTGGGGTGGTGATACTGGAGGGAGGAGGGTTAAAGTAGTTGCCATATGGCCTCAATTTTGATAAAGTAGGATTCTGCATCCGCCGTAAATATGGAACTTATTTGGGGGTTTGCAGAGAGGAAAAAGTTGAGCAGATTCTGTGGGGCATGAGAAAAGTAATCAATAATTTTACTCAGCAACTTAATTATCAATAGTAATAACCAATCTGACTTCCTGATCTCATGATTCCTTGTTTTTCCTATTGTTGTTGGGTACGGGTTACTATGAGAGGTAATAGTTAATTTAGTAAGTACTATGGGGGATTATTTTAAAGAATGGGTTAGATCAGAGTCCTGCTCTTGCAGAATTTAAAACTTAAAAAAACCAAAGTAATGTCTTTGAGAGCATATTAAATTGTGACTGTCAATGTTTTCTTTATAGGTGGAAAAATTGGTGGATTCGTGGAATTCTTACTCTGACTATGATTTCATTATTTTTCCTGATCATCTACATGGGAACATTTATGTTGATGCTTCTTGTAAGTCTGCTAGATACATTTTATGTGTAATCTGACTTTGTTTTTCAGCACGTGTAAATGGTTATGGTATACCTTTTTGAGCAAGACATTAAGCCATTGTGTGTTACAGTATTTTGATGAGATATGCCGGGCTCATACTCTTTTCAGGATTGTTATGACCTAGACTTTTGAGTCATACTGTTGGGAGATGAAATCAGCTGGATGCTAATTCGTGTTAAAGGCCTGTAGTGCTGGCAGGGAGAATAGGTGTCTTTTTTACTGCAACATCTTTATAATTGTATTATAATTTTGTACAATTGTTACTATTGTTCTATACTTTGAGTCTTTGTCAGATCTGTGATCTCACTGATGTGGTATTCCCGTCGATGGAATAGGTCACACTGTATGCATACCTTCTCATCCTGTTTGACTATGCCACTCATGTGGCAATGAATGCCACATACTGTCCCTGTTGCACCATAAGACAACAAAAATTGATTTAAAATATTTTTTGTTTTATGTTTCAAGTTTCTAGTATCATGACAGCATTTTTAAATTTTTCATTGTGAAGGTAGTGTGTTAGGTGTTAAATATAACATTAACTTCTTTTCTGTGGGGGAAAGATGCATTCATAATGTTAACATCTGATATACAAACCAATTTTGATGTAGAACCTGTCTTGTAAGTTGGAGAGTTTATTGTATCTGTGTCCAAAACAGATTATTCCTCCAGGAACTGGACACTTAGTGTGAAAAATAGTGAAATGTTTGGAGGTGAAGATCAGATGCCATTGTTGGTAGTGCAGTTGTGTGCTTGTGTTAGTAAGGGAGTGGTAAATTGTGTTTGTGCTCGGTTATGTACTAGCTTTTCGGATAATCATATTATTTAAAGTTCTTTTGTGCTTCTTTATATTAAATGTTTGTTATGTTTAATGTCAAACAGGGATATATCATAGACTTTTAAAGCTGAAAAAGGTCATATAGTCCAGCATCTTCATTTTATAAGTAGAGAGAGTGAGGCCTATAGAAGTTGTGGTATGTCTCGTGCTCAAGCAATGTAAATTCAGCAAGTATTTGTTAATCAGGTGCTGTATGTATGTATGTATCCATGCAGGACAGTGTAATAGACATTTTAGGAAACTTAAAAGTTTAGCTATGACATGGTGTTTGCCCATGGAGAGATTATATTCTAGAATATGAGTTGGCAAACAGCCTGCAGGCCAAATCCAGACAGCCACCTGTTTTCAGTGGCCCATGAGGAAAGAATGGTTTTTACATTTCTAAATAAAGTTTTGTTGGAATGTAGCAATACTTATTCGTTTATGGGTTGTTAATAGCTGCTTTCACATTACAAAGGCAGAGTTAAATAGTTACAACAAAGACAGTGTGTGGCACTTATTGCTTCACTCTGCTGTTTGACACACTACTGATGGCAGTGATGCAATTAGAACTCAATAACATTTCAAGTACCACATGCATTGCACAACATTTTTTTCCCACATACCCATTAAGTCAAAACAGGAAGAGGAAAAACCTTATGATTTTTTTTAGCTTAGGATAGAGTTTAAAATTTTTCTGAAGAAGAACCACCCTCACCCACTGTTATTGAACACTGAAATGGCTTTGGAGATTAGCTTTTGCTGTAGACTTAGTGGGCAGCTGGGTGAGGGGGAATAATATGTATTCTGTTCTATGCTGATCCTGTTT